TACGCATTGACTCGGGCAGCTATTTTCCCCCAAGCTAACTCTCTCTCTTTCGCCGCTGCAACCGTGTTGCTTCTCTTACGGAATATGGGCTCGTAGTCACTATATGCTTGTAGTAGCACATCCATTTCTGTCGGGGAAAAACGCAGACCTATTTTGGCTTGGTCCTGTTGCCATGGTGACTCGTAATTTCTTCACTCCATTGTTCAGGGCTTTTTATAGTCGCGTGGCACGCGCCTAACTCTGAGTCTAACAACTCAGAGTTGATTAAACCAACTCTTTTCAGCTGTTCTGAAACCGAAAACTCAGAGTTTTCCAACTCTGGGTAAGTCAACTCAGAGTTCAGGTTTGAACTCTGAGTTTGTTAAACCGCCTTCTTGAAATAGGCCCCAGCAGTCTCAACAGCAACTACTTAAACTGTAATCTCCTGGATGTGTTATTTTAAGAGCAACAGAGTTTTGTTTTGTTTTTTGATATGGGAAAGGTTGCTTATTAAAATGCTCTGTGTGTGTGGAAACAGAAATACTGCAAAATAATAACGAGACGAAATAACATTATAACATTTTGTTTTGTCTCGTTCTGGTCAACGAAAATGAAGAGACATTTTAGCATAGTTTTTATTTTGTAAACCACGTTTTGCCTTGTTTTTCGTCAACAATATTGCATTATACATTTAATTATAGTCGTCACATGACCATTTACGTTGTCTCGTCTCGTTTTTGTTACATGATAAAGGTTCGTTGACGAAGATATTTAATCATAATTTTCGTTGACGAAAGCAAATCTAGTAACGATGCTCACCGATACTGGGCTATAACGACTCAGTCGTTAGGGGACATTGTTGGCCTTCAAAGGACTGAAATACCACCGATGCGAATAAATATCTTCAGCTCCATTTTCAGTTAAATAAACATGTTCTTACCTTTCATTATTTAAAACAACCCATAATGCAGTCAAACCACAAGAAGGCATTTCTGCATGCCAAAAAGGTGCAAAGCAACAGAGTGAATACACTTTTAATCCAAATTATTATGTTCAGCTATAACCCTTTTGTAATCACCAAGATTTTGATTAGTAACTGTAATTTAATTAGTTACTTTAAACTCAAAATGCTGAATTTAATTTCAGAATAATGGCTTTTGTAATACTGAATTTTCAGGATTTTTACATTTCTGAGATAAAATTCTGACTTTAAATTCCAAAATTGACTTGAAACTGATATCCACCCCCTTCAGCAGAGGAATGTGAAAATGGACTGTTGGTAACAAACTATGCACAGTCAGTATAGTGGAGGGATGATATTTATGGGGTATAAAAATAAGAGAATACATATACATAGTTGTTTTTTTAAATCTCTACAATGACCAGAAAAGTTAAAAAAAATTTCAAATGACAAGTGGGTCACAGTAAATCACAAACTGGCACCAGGTGCATGTTACCCAGGTTAATTTCACACAGTTTGATGCACAGTAAAATATAATATGTGCACATCATTGAGTTATATTTTTTACTATATTTGTACTTTGTTCCTTGAATGTGACTTTCTGATCACAGAAATGTTTTTCTTTGTTTTTTTTTGCAGCACATTATATTTTTTAGGGAAATTGTTATCACACAAAGAACAATTAAATTTGAGCAAACCATTCTGATTTTGTGTGTGTGTGTGTGTGTGTGTGTGTGTCAGACCTCCCAACTTGATGAAGAGTCACCTGTTAAAGCAAAACAATAACAATGAGACCAGTCCCCGCTCGACCCCCAAGCTCAGTTTGGACTCAACTACCACTGCGAGGAATGGCAGAGTGGAAGAACCACAGCCTGTTCAGCTACTGCCTCCAACACAGCCCAGTCCAGCACTCACACAGGTACCATTTACTGTTTCACAATCAGAACTAGCAGACTTCCTAGCATGTGAGACTTAGAGAGAAAACTCTTCAGTTACTCTTTTTTCCAGTTTGAAGAACCATTCATGGTGGAAACTTACTGTCTGTATGCATATACAGTGCCTTGCGAAAGTATTCGGCCCCCTTGAACTTTGCGACCTTTTGCCACATTTCAGGCTTCAAACATAAAGATATAAAACTGTAATTTTTTGTGAAGAATCAACAACAAGTGGGACACAATCATGAAGTGGAACGAAATTTATTGGATATTTCAAACTTTTTTAACAAATAAAAAATTGAAAAATTGGGCGTGCAAAATTATTCAGCCCCTTTACTTTCAGTGCAGCAAACTCTCTCCAAATTTTCAGTGAGGATTTGTGAATGATCCAATGTTGACCTCAATGACTAATGATGATAAATAGAATCCACCTGTGTGTAATCAAGTCTCTGTATAAATGCACCTGCACTGTGATAGTCTCAGAGGTCCGTTTAAAGTGCAGAGAGCATCATGAAGAACAAGGAACACCAGGCAGGTCCGAGATACTGTTGTGCAGAAGTTTAAAGCCGGATTTGGATACAAAAAGATTTCCCAAGCTTTAAACATCCCAAGGAGCACTGTGCAAGCGATAATACTGAAATGGAAGGAGTATCAGACCACTGCAAATCTACCAAGACCTGACCGTCCCTCTAAACTTTCAGCTCATACAAGGAGAAGACTGATCAGAGATGCAGCCAAGAGGCCCATGATCACTCGGGATTAACTGCAGAGATCTACAGCTGAGGTGGGAGACTCTGTCCATAGGACAACAATCAGTCGTATACTGCACAAATCCGGCCTTTATGGAAGAGTGGCAAGAAGAAAGCCATTTCTTAAAGATATCCATAAAAAGTGTCGTTTAAAGTTTGCCACAAGCCACCTGGGAGACACACCAAACATGTGGAAGAAGGTGCTCTGGTCAGATGAAACCAAAATCGAACTTTTTGGCAACAATGCAAAACATTATGTTTGGCGTAAAAGCAACACAGCTCATCACCCTGAACACACCATCCCCACTCTCAAACATGGTGGTGGCAGCATCATGGTTTGGGCCTGCTTGTCTTCAGCAGGGACAGGGAAGATGGTCAAAATTGATGGGAAGATGGATGGAGCCAAATACAGGACCATTCTGGAAGGAAACCTGATGGAGTCTGCAAAAGACCTGAGACTGGGACGGAGATTTGTCTTCCAACAAGACAATGATCCAAAACATAAAGCAAAATCTACAATGGAATGGTTCACAAATAAACATATCCAGGTGTTAGAATGGCCAAGTCAAAGTCCAGACCTGAATCCAATCGAGAATCTGTGGAAAGAACTGAAAACTGCTGTTCACAAACGCTCTCCATCCAACCTCACTGAGCTCGAGCTGTTTTGCAAGGAGGAATGGGCAAAAATTTCAGTCTCTCGATGTGCAAAACTGATAGACATACCCCAAGCGACTTACAGCTGTAATCGCAGCAAAAGGTGGCGCTACAAAGTATTAACTTAAGGGGGCTGAATAATTTTGCACGCCCAATTTTTCAGTTTTTTATTTGTTAAAAAAGTTTGAAATATCCAATAAATTTCGTTCCACTTCATGATTGTGTCCCACTTGTTGTTGATTCTTCACAAAAAATTACAGTTTTATATCTTTATGTTTGAAGCCTGAAATGTGGCAAAAGGTCGCAAAGTTCAAGGGGGCCGAATACTTTCGCAAGGCACTGTAACTAAGTCTAAGATTAATAATAAAGAAAATAATTATGCAAACCGTGATGACGGCTAGTATTAAATTCAGTGTCTGACCCCTTATATTTAGTATTTAACAAAGCTACTGGAAGCAGCCTTGCATGTAGTCTTTGTACCTCTTTGGTACAAATTGGTTTCAACAGCTACAGGTTCTTCATGTCAAACGAATTGAAATTTCAATGAACTAATATTACTTCATCTATTCTAAGGTTAGCTGTATACTGTTATAAATATAATTACTGTATCTGTATCTAATTTTTATGAAAGAAATTCTCTGTGCTTTAAATGTTAGTATCTTTTGGTAACATGAAACAATATATACACAGAATTTCATTTAAAATTATAGAAAAAATTATTTAAAAAAATACTTTTAAGAACAGTTATTTCTGTAATTTTACAGTAATTTTCGGTTAATTTTTTTACAGTATGTGATAGCTATAGCAAGTCTGAAGCTTCTTATGGTGTGTTTACATTACAGTGAAAAAACAAGGGTCTTGTACCACGCATTCCATCCTGGTCAGTGTAGAAACTCCATTGGGACACTGTACAAAACGGCACTTTCCTAGCTACAATGCAAATGTTGCTAGTAGTAGATCACAACGTTTTATGCGCTGAAACTGTTTTTTTAACAGGCCATATACAGCCTGCGGGCCGTAGCTTGCCCATGTCTGCTCTAGGAGTACAGGCACAGCCAGAGTGAAATAGAACGCATCAGTTCAAGCTGTGATTGGCTGCGTGGACAAAATTCAGCACAACCCAAGTCAAAGTTCAACAAATTTAAAGTTTTGGTGCACCCCTGCTTCGTGCTGCGCACGATGGAGCCTGTGTGGTGCACCACATACACAACAATGGTGAGGTGTGTGCCAAAGCTGTTTTTCCACTATAATGTGAATATGCCTTTAGTGAGTGCCTTTAGTTTGTGTATTCCTGTTCCACACTGTATAGTACATGTTTTTTCAGGAGGAAAAGGAGAGTTCCAATGATTCGTCCACAGCTTTCATTCAACACACAGAACCAAAGGACAACACCAACATCGAGGTGTTATCTGAGGTTGGTCTCATTGGACAGCATCCTTTGCAGACACCATTATTATTTCCAATACATTGCTATAACTAAATGGTTAAAAAATATGAAATCATCAAAAATGATAGACTGCATACGGATATGTACGCAAATACAAGTAAAATGTACTTGTACCACAAACTTAAACAACTTTCTTTGGACAAATGTATATGTATCAAAGTCAAGAGCTCTGAAGGCTTCAGTTATATTTTTTTAAACGATTAAAAGTTGTTTTCTGGGAATGGCCAAATAATTTCTTCATTTAATTGGCTCATCATCTTTTTGTGCTTACGGAATGTTTTTTTGTTTTTTTTTTTTTGTTTTTTTTTTTTCAAGATAAGATAAATATCCTGTTTGATACATGTCTGGTGATCTCTAGGCAACAAAAGTTATTAGTTGTTTGTGTGGCCTCACTGTGCACCTGTGGTAAACACGGAAACAATGTTCCATTTAGGAGAAATAGTCATACTGCGCACTATCTTTGAGTATGCAAGTCAGTCATGTTTCATGAGCTATTACTGACAGTAATAGCCTAATTAGGCTGATGCAGCTGCATACTAAATTGGGCTTACACATGCCATCTGTGTGCAGCACAGATGGATTACTGAACAGGCCTACTGGGCAAAGGTTCAGGGACCCCCAGACCAGATAATTGTGAAGGGACTGTTAGCTAACTTTTCTGTTGGAAAGTCATTCAAATAATAACAAAATGACTAAAGTACACACACACACAAAATGAAAAAAATAGATGCAAAACATCTACAAAGAGATACAAAATCACTACCCAAAAGTAGACAAATGATGAAAAAAGGCACAAAAGATCCCAGAGAGCAAAATAATTACAGAAATATGCACAAAAAAACTGACACAAAGCAACTGCAAAGAGATACAAAACAACTAAAAATAGTCATTACAGATGTGACAGTCCCCTGGGTCTCTTGTTTTTTTTTTTCTTTTTTTTCTTTCCTTTAGCAGGTAGCAGGAGGTGGTGCCAGTTAGAGGCACCTGGGCCTCTAACTGGCCTCTATAAATCTCCACTTATCTTCAATCCTTTGGAGCTGTCTTTTCTCCCACCCAGTTGCATTTTGTTTTCTTCATCCACCATTGACTACATCCTACTTTTCACCCATCCATGCATACTTTCACTACTGATTATACCAACAATGATTTCTTATGTTTTTTACAATCTTATTTCATGCTTTGTTAAAACAAAGTTGATATTTATTTACTTTCACCCTGCATCTCCCTCTGGTTTTGTTAGGGCTTTAGAGGGATAAACTTTCTAATAAACTTGTTTACTTTTGACACAGGTGAAACAATTTGATTGAGTGACAAATAAATGAAGTGTTGCTGCACAGTATATGATGCGGTGATTGTTATTAGTGTGTTGAGAACTGCAGCAGAGCTTTAGAAAGCTTGATTTGGCAACTGAAAAATAAATGCAATAATGTATACAGTATGTTAGTACTCCTTCTGGCTCCTAACAAAACTTTTTGGGCTTTGTTATAGATTCCAACAAATGTCAACTCAGTTACCACGACAACAGCCAATCTTACTGTGCCCAAGGGCAATCCCACTTCACGGTGGTCCAAGATAAAGATTGTAACAAAACAGACCGGGAACGAATGCATCACAGCTATCGAGATTGTCCCACCTGTGGAGGGAGCTGAGAGGCGTTCGATCCCAATCAGCCGTCCCAGGACTGTGGCAAGAAAGTTTGCAAGCATTGCTAGAAGTCAAGTGAAGAGGAAAAGACAGATGGCTGCTAGAGAAAAGAAAGTATGTTACTGCACACTGTACTGCATTAGGCATGAATAGAAAAAAACAATAGATGGTGTGTTGACACACAGATTTACTGTACACCTACAGTACCATGGAGTAGGGCTAACCACAGTTTACTGTAGACTACACTGTAATGTTAGTTCTTCTGTCAGTTGTTTGCAATGTGCTAATAGGAAAATATCAAAGAAGACCAAAGTCCATTGATATTGCTGTGCATAATAAAGTGTTTTATCTACCTAAAGGAAGGAGATGCAATCAAAGGAGTTTCTTTGCTTCAAGGGGGGTCTCTGGGGAATGGGGATGGACCAGTGCTGGAGGGGCGCTCTCTGAACTTGTATCCAAGAAAAATACTAGAGAAATGCATTTCCTGTTGAAAATGCATGTGGATGCTGATATGCTGAAAGATCGTCCTGAAAATGCCTGAAATCAATTGCTGAAACAGCTGAAGGATGAGAAGAAATGGCTGAAGTTCTTTGTTGAAATAGTTGAGAAAAAATGGCTGAAGTTCTTTGTTGAATAATCTGAAGGATGAGATGCAATAAATACAAGTAGGAATGTCCTTGAAGAGCTGAACATTTTGATACCTGAACGGCTTTTCTAGCTGAAAGTATGCTGAACTTATTAAGATGTGAAAATATTCCCCTTGGTCCCCACAAAGTAGGTAAAACAAGTAGGTGTGTGTGTGAGAGGGAGGGGGAGAGGGAGAGAGAGAGAGAGGAGTTATGAAGTGCCATGTCTCAATTGCGCTGCATTTTATGAACCACCAGATGGCACTCCAGCACTGTGTCATTGACTCAGCACTTTGAGCTCCCATTGACTTCTATTGTAAACAAAAAGCTGAATAAATAAAAAATTATTAACGTTATAAAAAAGTTGAATACAAGCGGGAATGTCCTTGAAGAGCTGAACAGGTAGATACCAGAATGGCCTGTATAGCTGAAAGTACACTGGACTTATAAAGTGCCAAAAAGCAGATGGAAGATCCTAGAATAATCCGGAGAGCATAGTGTGCTTTACAGCGTCCACACAATAATTTGTAGACATCATTTGTATGCCTTAAATTGTCTGAGTTTTGTACCTGAGCTTGAGATGTTGGTAATGTTAGCATTAGCCGTATCTGAGGCATTACTGTGTCTGGGAGACCGCAACACATTGAGCACAGTGCATTCCTTCACATTCATATTATGTTGAAGTAAAATCTTTGCCATGTTAGATCCCACCAGATTAGTGAAATTTTTATGAGCTGTACTGTATAATGCTCATTGCAGTCCATGAGCACAACTGAAATATACAACAGTTAGGACCAAAACGCAGAACTGAAATGTCTTAACAAATCCACAGTTCTTGGAAATTTGGAACAGTTCCAACTGGGTATCAAGATATCCAACCCTACTCATGGGTAGTATTACACCAGAAGACCTATATTTTATATTTTAATAACATCAGCTTTTGTTATCAGACAGAAGATTTAAAGTCCCACAGGCTAGACTAAAGGGACAAAATAACTCTTGTTCCTCAGACTGTCAGACTGATAACTTTATCTTAAACAAGCTGCAATTTTCAGCAAATTGATTTTCATACCAAAGTGAAATGAACGAAAAACTAAAATCTGCTTGGAGATATTACTGTGTTCTCTTTATCAGTTCACCTTTCCTCTTGCTTTTCTTCACAATCTCTACAGGTGACCAAGACCATCTTTGCCATCCTGCTGGCTTTTATCATCACATGGACACCATATAACGTCATGGTGTTGATCTCAACCTTCTGCCAGTCCTGCGTTCCTGACACTGTGTGGGCTATCGGCTACTGGCTGTGTTATGTCAACTCTACAATCAACCCAGCTTGTTACGCACTGTGTAACGCCACTTTCAAAAAGACATTCAAAAACCTGCTGCTCTGCCAGTATAAAAATATAGGTACAAGATGAGATGGAAGAAGACTGAGGGTGGGATAGATGGGGAAGGGGCATGCCACTGTAAGAATGGGGGCCGAGGAAGGCAGAGGAAATACGCCAAAAGGTGAGTGAAAGAGGGTTAAGAGACCTAAATAGCAATAGAAGGGTTCCTTCATCTGCAGACAGTGAGCTACTGTGATTTATTGTGAATGAATTCCAGTCATCACCATTACTACATACACAATTAAGTATGACTCCTGATATTGTCTGTTAAAAGAAGCTTTCTTTTTCTTGGAGGTTGTGAGCTCCTCTTCTGGCTCCTTAGTTGGCCTTTTCCCCTTTGAAAAGAAGCTCTTCAAAGACATTTGTTTTTTACTCATTTTTGCTAGTTTGCAGGCTTATTTTTTAGCAACGTATAACGTGAAGTCGTGACCGACACAGGCGTCTTGACATGTCAAGAGGCACAGGTGGATGATACGTTGGAGATAATCCCGTCGTTTTTCATAATAAATCATCTTCCAGACTCTAAAAATCAATGCAATGGAAATTATATAAATGATTTATTCTTTCTGTGTGGCCCAGTAACAAATGCCTCATGGCCAGGTGGTTGGGGGCCACTGCTATAGATGTCATAGGCATCATAAAACTGGCAAAATGACTGAAAATCAAGAAATGAAATGATCAAGAAATTATCAAGAAATAAAATGATCTACAAATACAGCAGAGGACAGATAATTGGGACACTGACTGAGGATAAGTCAAAGTTGGAGGTGAAACAGGTGGAGGTAGCAGCAGAACAAATAAAAGGATTGTAAGTGGCATACCACACATGCTATAGCAACCAAACAGCTTTAACTCATGAGCAACAATAGCAGCTAACTGTGTTAAACATACTACTTTTGTACAGCTTGACTACTTCAATAAACATAGGGGGACATTTTGTGTTTAGGTCATTCCATTTAGGAAACAAGTAAATAATTTTGCACAGTATTTGAAGCTGTTTTCAAAAAGTGTATTTTACACAATTAGCCTATACTTTGTTAGCTAACCTTTTTTTTTTCTCAAGTATAAATTAGAATATTAAAACATGATTACAGCACCACTAGAAGTCCTTTGAAGTTTGTCATCGAATAACTTAAGAATGGTATTTGGCTGAAAATGCAATATCAATTTTCCAAACTGTTCTAGATGAGGTGAGGTAGGGCCACAGTGGGAAGCAGTAAATATACACTATGTAGTAAATATATAGTGTATGCTTTACCTAAGTACCAAATTGTGACAGCATAATGAGTAATTGTTCTCCTTAGATCTACAGCAATTTCTTAATATCGAGTCATGAGACCTGCAATTCAGTGTGGCCCTTAGACAGTGTAGCCCTCAGCCTATCAGAGTGGCTCAGCATTGAGTTTCATGTATTTGTTCTGTCCAAACAAAATATTTGCCAAGATGATATGTCAGTTTTAAATGAACGAACAAATGTTCTACATAATTATGGCTTATCCTCTGAGGACCATGGCTGTATACAAATTCTATCAAGGGAAAATTTGTTTCAGATATGTTATGCACAAATTGGGCAGCTTGACTAGGAGTATTCCTAGAGGAATTAGTCATTAAGTATCAAAAACACAGATTGTTCATCCTCTGAGGAGTCTGACGATGTCACTTGATTTTGTGGCAGTCTCCTGTTTAGACCTTGACAGTTGACAGGTTTCAGGGTAATGTAGCTGGTAGTTGTAGGACAAACATTTCTGTCAACAGACTAATACATTTATTGACCCTGGTCATCAAATCACACCTGTTTAGTCTTAAGACAGGCTTACACCATGCAGGTTTTATTGATTGATTATTGATTACAATTGATACAACAGGCTAACTAATGTTGTTTTAATTGACCTTCCTGCTCACACTGATGAGTCAAAATTTGGATTGGATTTTTCAGGCTTTTTTTTAAGAGTAAAATAACAGGTATTGTTAAAATTTATATTATTCCTGGACCAGACCAGGTTATTTTTTATTCTGCTTTGTTAGAAGAGTCAAAGAGGATTTAGGAAAATGCCTTCAGAATGTGAGTGAGTGTTATGAAACAATGGTATGGGGTTAAAATGGCCACCAAGTTTCAATTTCACATGTTCACAGAAGATTATCTCTGTGATTCGAGTGTATGTAGTACAGGTGCCAGGGCTGGGACGCGGCCTAGTTATCCTTGAATTTATTCTTTTTTTCTCTTTATTTATTCACATCAGATTCTGTTAACTTGTCCAGATTCAGACTAAGTCCAAAAAAATCTATCTGTGAAGGCCTCTATTATGTTATAATTATAGTTATGGATTTATATTGGACAGAATTACATGTAAATAAGAAACATTCATTATTATTAACACTTGGCTGAGCAGTTCATGTACAGTATCTCTCCTCAAATCACACCTGTTTACCAGCTTTACAATTAAGGACAGAATAAACAACATGCATGAAGAGAAGAATCCAACATGTTTGACATTGTGGAAAATATTCTGTGCCCTCCTGCAACTATTTTTCGAATGTTGTGTTGCCTGCCCTGTACACCTAGTGCCGAATAGCAGTTGAGGTATAAATAAATAACTTTGTGGTTATTTGATATTGTTATTGCACATGTAACTTATGTTATTTCTCTAATGCAAATGCAGAATGTATGCATTAGTTGGCCGTTGGCTGTATGGTGTGTTCAAGTGCTACTCTTTCAACCTGACTGGCCCAGACAAAGGAGAAGGGAGGTGATGCAGCAGTTGGCCTTCGTTGTTTCATGTCAGTTTGGTGTGTCTCTGCCCTAACATTTCAACAAGGCCCTCCCCTCATTTCCTGTTACCTCAGCATTGTCCACTGTACCTATGATGCAGCATAGGTATGGTCAAAGGGCAGTTCTTATGAAGTAATTTAAAATCTATTTCCTTCATTCTAACTAAAATTTAAAGTTTAGCAACATCACTCATTTTTCCACATCATCATGCCATTGGCCGTGTTTGTACAAAAATGTACTGTATATTACAGTATGGTGTACCTAATGTCTATAATTATCACATGTCAAAACAGAAAAAAGTGAATTCTAAGGCAGTATTATGAAATGAAAAAATTTCTCTTTGTCACTTATTCTCAGTGACAGACACTAGAGACTTTTAGAAATTCATTCTGTTCTCTCCCCTGCAGTATCACTTCCTTTAGTCATTATTCTTCATGCTCTCTTCCACCTTATCACTCAGTGGTCGTCTCCTTCGCTGTATATTTCTGTTGCAAAGTTATGCAAATTATGGAGCAGTAATTGCACTGATATCATCAGATCACCTAAATGACATATCTAAATTATATGACAGATTAAATTAATAATTTTAAAAAATGGATAAAAATAGAGTACTAATAAAAATTCTTGTTTAAAGAAAGAAGCTCAAAGGTTTAGTTTCTTAGCTCAAATGTATATTTAGTTATGTCCTTGTAATAAATTCAGGGTTATAGTAAGTCGAAGCACCTTCCGAGATCCCAGATGAAAATTTCCATGTATTTTTTCATTGAATAGAAACACATCTCTATGTTTTCTATAAATGCCTATTGTTACTCTTCTGTACCTCCTGCATATTTCCCCCCTCTTACTCTACATAATTTGTCTTCTGACGCTGATTCAGTTTTTCATTAACCCTTATTGGCAGAAAGGATTATGGGTTGCTTCCCTGACAAAGTTAATTGACAAGATGTGCAGAATAAATGGCAGCAGAAATTGGACTAACTACCTGACTGCTTTACTGACTGAAAGAACGAAAGCTTCACTAGGCATAGTATTCATGAGAACATCCATCCATCTTATTAACCTAAATTACAAAACTGTAACAGAAAAATGTCAAAACATAAACCCTCCCAAGGAAATTCCTGGAACTAGATGAAACTGCTGAAAAAGTGATATTCTCAAATGTAGATTTTGTGCTTTTCCAAAGGGGATGGGATCACGCATCATCAGTGTTTAAAGAAGACTCACTTTATTATGGTCGGGGAATTGTCATGGCCATGGTCAAAAAACTAAACAGAATTAGGTTGTCCTGGTAGTCTAGGGTTTTTAGGTGCACACAGGAATTGTGTTACATCTTCTCATTGCTTTTATTTCCTGCTATCTCTTTGTGAAGGAGTGCTCCATTCAGAGAAAGCAGAACCTTTGAGGTTTGCTGGTGAACCTTTGATTTTCTTACTGGTGTCTTTTGTTTCATGACAGCACTCACCCCTCTGAGCCACGGGAGGGAGAGCAGAAGTGTGCAGTGGAGTAGTGAAGATGAGGTTAATCCTTTAATCCTCACCATCCCCAACTTGAAAATTATTCAAAAGAAATTCTTTTATTTATAACATTATTTATGTGATGTCAACTAACTAGCTTCCTTGGCTAATGCAACTTAGCTAATTCAGTACATGTTAGCTACGTTAGCAATTTCTTTACTTGTAAAACAGGTTACATTCTGCTATCTCTGTTGTTACCATTTGCAAGAATTGCTCCCCAACACAGTTATATCCTACTTCATGTGTTCTTTGTGGATGCTAACCTTATCGATGGCTGTAAGTACTGCCCTAGGTTGACAGGACAGAGAAATGTCCTGTCAGTTGCCAATCACACAAACATTCATCCAAACACTGATTATTAATTGACAGGTCATTCCTGTTGTCAGCTTACGCTTCAAGTCATCTCTCTGTCATTTTTCAGTGGTTTTTACATTCATTTGGCTTAGGTGCTCCACAAAAACACTTAGGCACTACACCCAAGCCTCTCTATGGTAGGGAAAACCCTGATCTTGAGGTTCCCTGCTATAACACATTTAACTGATTACATTAGCCTTTTTTGCCTTTATGAAACATCTTCAGGTGTTAGAAATTCAGCAATGGGTTTGTCATTTTATGATAGTTGGGTGTGGGCAGCAGTGTGCATGTGTGTGTTTATTGGTAAGATTATTTTCAAAGTAACAGGAGAGTAAATTAGGGAAAGTAAAATAAATAGTGAGTAGTTTTAATATTTACTAGAGGAAATTAATTATTTAAAGTAGGAGTAGTGCAAGGAATAGTAGAAAGATTTAAAAATGACAGTACTCCAGTTTTTAGTTAGCTCTCACATGGGCCATATACTTCTACACTGGCTCCAGGAAGTATTTAGACCTCTTCACTTTTTGCACACTTAATTATTCAGTAGATTTAATTTTAAATGGATAAAATTGCCATCTTGTTCACAATCAACAGTAAAATGACATGCTTCACACAGCTGGCTATTGAGCAGATTATCACATTCTTCTGGGCAGCATGACATGCAGTGTGAATTGTGGAACCTTATATATACACACTGGCGTGTGCCATTTTAAACTGTGTCCAATCAGTGCAGTTAGTCACAGGTGGAATCCAGTCAGGTTCTAGACACATGTCAAGGATAAATAAAGTAATCAAGGTGCTTCCAATCCAATCTGATGGTGCTTGAGAGGATCTGCCAAGGAAAAACTAAGTCCAAGAGACCTACCCAAGAAGCTGCAATTGTTGCCAACAATTACCTCTATAAAGTGCTGAATTAAGGTTCTGAACAATTTTGTGAATGAGACATTTTAATTGTTAATAAACGTATTTAAAATCTAAATGGTTTCCCTTTATAATTATGGGACAAAGTGTATATATTGACTGAGGGGCAAAATTGTACTTTCCATTTAAAATTGAATCTAAAACATAAAATATGCAAAAAAGTGAAGGGGTCTTAATATTTTCTGAAGCCACTTTAACAGTGGTTTGCTGCCCTTAATGAATCATTGTTGATTTAATTTTTTTAACAATGAATGGTATTACAGGTTTCCTGTGGCTGCTATTGGGAATACCTCTGTTTTTTTATTTACTTTTTGTCTGTATATTTTTTAATGACTTTCTTTTGTACTTTTTAATGTAACATATTATTTATATAGACAATTTTCAAAGCAACATAGAGCATCACCTGGCATAATACCCATCTAGTATTCTTAAATGAAATGTACTAAAGATACTGTATATGAGAAGCAACTTGTGTTGATAAAGAATTGTAATGCAAATAAAGATTACTACTACTGTTGAAATATTGTAAAAATGTGTGTTGTCTCAAACTACTTATGGGTATGTTTTAAGATATAATAATTTCTGCCCTATCTTGCAACAAACGCATGGTGTGCGGCATGGGTAGCGTCAATTTTCTGCCTGCGCAATTACCATTTTCACACCATGTGCATCACATTGCCTTTTTACTAAGTAGCAGTCGACTTTGTCTGGCAGGTGTGTCTGGATGAAAATGGGGCACAGGTAAATTTTGGGCACGTTGGTAATATTAGGGCACACGAAGTGACTGTGCCATTGACCAGTGAAAACCAGGTTTGTGGTCTTTGTGAGTAATGCTGGGCTCAGCCTACACAATTTAAGCTCAATAATAGCCCGACTCAGCTGTCATAGGGTGTCAGAACAGAAAATGGGCATCGTATATGAAAATGGATAATTTTATTTAGTATAGTGTGTTATAGTAAATGTCAAGTGATGCCACATCTAGGATGCCTCATGACATCCCAAAACAAAAGTCCCTGTCAGACAGACACTGACACCCTGAAATCATCTAGACATTACCTGGAGGAGCTGTATGTGAGAACACAAATATCTGAGTCAGTTGAACTGGACATTAAGTGTGACTTTACCCTGCAAGCTCCCAAGTACAATTTTTGCTTAAAGTTCGAGTGAGCCTGTGCGAGAACTCAGCAGTTTACAGCCCATTCACATTGGTCTAATGGGAGTGTTGATGACTCTGTCATGTGACTGTGGCGATACCAGAAAAATATAATGAAGATGCCAACAAAAATATCTAACTGGAGACATGATGATAATCAAGAACTTCTGTCATTAAGAGTCGAGGCTAGAATTGTCAGACAAATTTAAGGAATAGCAAGAGGCTTGGGTGTGTATGACAAAATTACAACCTGGATACTTGACCACATCACATCCCACCTTCTGCGTGCTGTACCAACCGTGCCCATGTCACACAAACCAAATGGAGTATTTCCAGTAGGTGAGAAAGTCTGTGAAAGACACAATCTCCTGTTGTGTGCTACATGTGAGGGAACTCCAGCCCTGATTCTGCTGACACTGTCTGGAGTTCATACAGTATGTGAAAACGGCTCACGTCAGAATGTCAGATTTTTTTCTACTTCTATGACATGTTGGGGGCAATGCTGACAAATAGGAGCATGGATTGCTACTCTGTTCACAACACCCTGGACGTTTTAACTGAATCACTGAATTAATCAATATCACAGCATGACAGCTAAAGCTAGCATATTAGCTATCACAACATGCCCTGTGAAGTACCCTGTAAGGGCTGGCTAGCTAGTTGTTGGGTTTACTACAAGTTTCAAATTGTTATATATCTGAAACCAGATGTGAACCAGAGGTGAAGAGGCAAGTGCAGGCAGGTTGGAATGGGTGGAGAAAGGTGCCAAGAGTGTTGTGTGACAGAAGAGTGGCATCAAGAATCAAAGGAAAGGTGTACAAAACAGTAGTGAGACCAGCTATGCTGTATGGGTTAGAGACTGTAGCAGTGAGGAAAAGACAAGAGGCAGAAATTGAGGTAGCAGAGATGAGGATGTTGAGGTTCTCTTTAGGAGTGACCAGGATGGACAGGATTAGGAATGAGCACATCAGAGGGACAGCTCAGGTCGACTGTTTTGGGGACAAGGTCAGAGAGGCCAGATTGAGATGGTCTGGACATGTGCAGAGGAGGGATAGTGGTTATATTGGTAGAAGGATGTTGGAGATGGAGCTGCCAGGCAAGAGGTCAAGAGGAAGGCCAAAGAGGAGATATATGGATGTGCTAAAAGAGGACATGAAGTTAATTGGTGTGAAAGTAGAGGATGCCGAGGATAGAGTTAGGTGGAAACAGATGATTCGCTGTGGCGACCCCTAACAGAAACAGCTGAAAGAAGAAGATATATCTGAAACCAGATAGCCACTCCTACTTAACAGTGGCACTGTAATGCCATTGTCACACTGTAACCATGGCAACACAAACTACCCACATTTATACCAGTGACAATTCCAAACAAATGGAACACAGAGATCAAAAAATGAGAGCTGACCTAGATGGGGTGGAGCAGGTTGTTAACAGAATCAGGAAAAAGAAAACAAATGATTAAAAAGCTCATAATTTATTACAGAAGCTTATGTAGTTTAAAATATTCTACTGGCATGAGACAATGGGAAGACGAACACTATCTTCACAGGTGGGTGGCCTGTGAGGTAGGACAAAGCAGGACAAGACAGGTGGAGGAAAAACACAAAACGGAGCCTCTCCCTGACACACATTGTGCTATAGTTGGTATATTACATGACTATTTTTAGTCCATAACCTCATTGTGCACTGTGAGGAACAGACTGAGGGAAACATTATGTAATAGTAAACCTGCAGTAGCCACCTCCCACATTTGTAATGTGCAATAAAACAATGTATTAAAGTCTCCCATAGAAAGAAGTAGAGAGGTGGCGTGTTGCCACGGTGGCGCTGTGCTCTGCATCATCATAGTTTGCTAAAAATACTGTCCTGTTATAAGGATGAATAATCACCACCAGGAACGTAACACACACACAAATTAATATTACATCATGTAGTACAATAACCATAATGCCAAAAGTCAGTTTAATTTCCACAGCAGATTATCATCTAATGTGAATCTTTAAATAATATGTAGAATGTATCCAGCTTTTTCTGTCAAGTCTCTTTGGATCCAGCAGTTGGAATGTTTGTTATTATATATTTTTATAATTTCAGCATGCCACAAGCTCCCAGTTGCATCATACATGCATATGACATATTCCAAATGTGTTAAATGAATGTTTTCCCATGAGTTAAGAGAGCCTGTGCTAAGTAGGAGTAGACAGTAGCTGTGGGAGGAATAGGGAGTGCAAACTCTGCACAAAGGCCTGGGCTCGAACCCGGAACCTTTTTGCTGTGAGGTGACAGCACTAACCACTGCACCCCAGGAACTAACATATGGTCTCAAAATTGATTGCACCTAATTTATCTTGTCTACTACAGCTGGACACCTCACATCAAAAGGGGTTGGGCCTACTTTTATAAAATACTTTTTTTTAAATTTTGTAATACTTAAATTAAATGCTTAGATGAAACATGATGTGCAGCATGGTGATGCAGTCTGTTTAAATCTAGGAATGTAACACACACACACACACACACACACACACACACACACAAATTAATATTACATAGTAGCACAATAAGGATGCTAAGGATAGTAGCACAATAACCATAATGCCAAAAGTCTGTGTAATTTCCATTGTGTATTTTTCCTCCACCTTTCTTGTCCTGCTTTGTCCTACCTCACAGGCCACCCACCTGTGAAGACAGTGTTCATCTCCCATTGTCTCATGCCAGTAGCACTGTCACCTCACAACAAGATGGTTCTTGTTTATCATGTTACACTGAAAATCTAAAAAGAAAGAAGAAATTGTTTCAGCCAACAACAAAAAGTTCAGCAGACTTCACAAACATCAAGGTAGACCACATGTATGTAACCTCAACTGATTTACAATCAGTAGATGAAATGAAGACAGCAAAAATAAATCACTGCTGCAGGGAGCTGTTTATTTATTGATGAAAGCTTTCTTCTCTAACGTGCATCAAAGGCAGGGCAACATACTACAGTACAGTGGGTGTGCGTATATGAGAGACAGGGAAACTGACTGCCAACAGCAAAGCTGGTGGAGCATGGTAAAGTGGATGTATCGCACACAAACAGGCTGTAATTATGCATTGCTTCTCTAATAACCTGTCCAGGGACTGGAGTGGAAAAGCACTGCAGCAGCGTCCCATGAGGACACCACTCCAGGATCAACCAAAGTAGCAGAAAAGAGAATAAAAATTATTTATGGAAACCTAAACCTTAATTAAGTAAAATCACAGTGAAAAGAGAGGTTTTTAAAAAAGTTGCAATACAATATAACAACTAGGATATGATTAGACAAAATGCGGAAGATTATTTTACTTTGCTCTGCTATTTTTTAGACTACATTATTATTATTCATTTTTCTAAATTACAAGAAACAACACTATTGGTTCCAGTCAGTAATCAGCAATGACCAGAGGTTTGTTTCAGGATGTTGGTTAATTACAGTCTCCTCAGGATTCTTTCCATACTGAAATAGCCTAAAGGCCAGCTTGAACATCATGTTTCAATGTGTCATCGAAACACCATTGCCAGGACTATTTAAAAACCTTAATCAACATCATTGTTTGATGCATAGACAAAACAAAGTCATGTGTCTAAAAAGATGTCTTTAAACATATTCTGACATGCGAAAGAGCTAATGGGTATTATTACCCAGATTAGATGGGTAAGGTATGACCATAAAGTGTATTGAAAATCTGATGACGTTGCTATTAAATGTACAGTGGCTTCAGAAAGTATTCAGACCCCTTTGCTTTCTGCCCACTTTGTGTTGTAGATGTAATGTTAAATAGTTAAAAGTGCCATTTTGCCCATTAATCTATACTCAGTAACCCATAATGAGTGTACTGATCACATGCTCCTGTACTTTGAGTTTTACAAACAGAAAAATGTCTTTGACCATACACTAAGCATAAAGATGTATTGGTCTAATTTATATAAGATCACTCAGACATGTCTTAATTGCCAAAAGCAATAGCACATCTTCTCAACAATCTGCAACCCAAAGTTAGATCCCAAACGCTCAAGCTACAACAATGAAAATGAAGAATGGCTGTCCCAGCACTTAATATAATAATAATAATAATAATAATAAACAATGGCCAATAGGAGAACAAAGGATAACTCTCACACAATAAAGATGTGATATGTCTGTCTAGGTAGTAAGCTACTGTAGTCACTGTGGGAATGTGAAATAATGAAGCTACAGCAGAAAGAGAGTACTCCCTCAAGTGACTTTCTTCTCTCTGCTCTAAATAGCTCTGCCAGTGCCTAGAGGTCCATCTGTCAAGACAAAACAACAGAAAAGTGAAATCAGACCTGAA